AAAATAATAGTGTCTTGTCCCTGTACATCATACCTTTCCATTAACAAAGGAGTTGTGCCAGTCATCTATTAACTAACTGCTTTCAGGGGAAAAGTTTGGAATAGAAATAATGTGACTTCCGGTTTACATCAAAAGTTCATATATAGTTAATCGCAGCCTCCTACCCACCAACGTTTCCACATTTGGTCTCGGATTTCATCTATCTAACTCCATTCTCGAGATTAAGGAAAGACAGATAGACTGACAGGCAGATGACAGTGGTAATTTATAGCTGTACAATTTTTTAGAATTGCGGCCTAAAAATGTCAACTGAAATTATAATTTTTATAGATGGCTAAAAACCTAACACATAATATTAGCACTTTATAATGTAAACTAAGTTTCACAAAACCTTTCACACTTTTTTTCTAGCAGTTTTTAATCCATAAGATAGGAGAACAAACATTTTTGGCCATTTTAAATGGCCTTCTTCAAGTTCTATAACAGAAGAAGGTCTATAACAGGGGTGGCCAACACGAGGCCCGCGGGCCGCATGCGGCCCGCCGGGAGTCATGTTGCGGTCCGCGGAGCTAGGTCAAATGAATGTAAATGTTAACTTTATTGTAGATATCACCAAAAGGACATTACCTCATGAGTTATTCGTATCATGTATTTTTAAATTATAGCTAAGAGAAATTTGAAATATCTCTCATTTTTGGAAAAATTTATAGATTTTTAACTATTTCAAATATCCCGCTATTTGACACTCAAGGTTACTTAGTTTTTTGTCCGACGCTAAGTGTTGATAAAATTTAATATGAGACTTCAACTTCAGCTATATATGTTCTGTGGTCTTCGGCGTTTTCGGGAAGCTCGCAATGCTGTCGGGCTCATACTCATAACTACTTTCAGTCCAACTTGACAAAGTTCCGTGTTATTCTGTAGTTTTGTTTTATTATCGTCAATGCATCTGGAGAGATTTTGCAATCGACGTTAAAATACATGTTTAACATATTTATAATTACAGTTCAAACTACTTTAACCAAGTAGCCTGTCTACCATATCGATTCTATAAGTAAGTAAACCCTGAAACGTTGGAGAAATTCCATCAAGTTTGGAAGAGTTCTATGAAACGTATTTGGACAAAGATAAACATCCTGCGTTTTACAAACATGCTCTGTCGATGGTTTCGCTATGTGGAAACACTTATGCGTGTGAACAGCTTTTTAGTCGCATGAAGTACATCAAATCATAAGTGAGATCAAATTACTGCGTGTATTGGAAAACTGCGTGTAGCGACAACATCAATGGAGATCAATTTTGATGCACTTAGTTCTGTAAAACAAAGTCAGATGTCTCCCTTTTAAATATTTTTAAATTGTCTAATAAATATGTTTGATTCTCGGTTATGTTTTATTTTCTTCAAAAAAATAAATATACCTATTTTTTGTGTTTTTTTACATTAAACCAAAAAAATGTTTGACCACGATCTCACCTACTGGGAAGCGACGATGTGGTTGAACTGTAGCACGCTTGCTTGTTTACTTTAATTAAAAAAAAAAAAAAAAATTAGGTGCGTGGCCCGGCAGGAAATATTATTTCTGAAATTTGGCCCGCCTTCTGAAAAGGTTGGCCACCCCTGGTCTATAAGAAGGTCTATGACAGAAGAAGGCCATTTAAAACAGCCAAAAATGTTTGTTCTTCTATCTTATGGATTAAAAACTGATAGAAAAAAGTGTGAAAGATTTTGTGAAACTTCGTTTAAGAAGTTCTAGTTTTCCGTGCATGGAACTTTAGAAAGAAAAGCAAAAATTTAAACTTAATTAATCAGTTGCATTTATTTACTTTTAAACAGTTAACCTAAAACAGTGTGCAAGTGTTAAGAATTTGATTTTTTTAAAATAATTATATAGAAAATTTATTTTGAAGATAATCTATTATTGAAATATTCTAATTCCTCTATGACACATAAAATCATGAAGTAAATAACATACTTTTGTCAGACTAAAACAAGCAATTACATATCAAACTGGCCTGAAATGTGCTAATAATTGAACAGTACAGCTGGATTCTTTAAGATACTGAGTAATTTGGACTACAAATTAGTGGTTAAACAGACATCTCATGTTAGTAATAAAACTGATGAACATACTTATGCCTTATTAGTACAATTAATAAATATACAGCCATTTGGCATTAATTTAATTATCTGTAATGACAGGGATAAATTTTCTAATATAGAAAAATCAGATGTCTATATGATTCCCTGCAAGATTTAAGCCCTGGTTATAGAATTTTTTTACATAGGGGTCACAACCAAAAAATTACTAAATCCTTTAGAAGAACACCAAGGTGACAGACATCTTAACTAATAGGCTTTCCACTGACCTAGGAATGTATTGGAACATGCTATTATGCCATTATGGTTGGAAGCTCTCTGCTCAAACCATGTACAGATCATAAAGTTATTTTTCTCTGGGAATCTTTTTATACAACAACATTAAGTTCATGCAATAAGTCTACAACCACTTGTCAAGATACTGGCTTAATACGTAAATAAATCACTACCACCGCCAATACGAATAAGCAACAAAAACGAAAAACTCTTACTGTAACTAACATTTTCTTCCATTTGTAATGAACATCGATTGTTTTTTGTTTTTGCTGGTTATTTGTGTTGGTGATGTGATTTATTTAAACCTATGCTTGAACTCACTGAATTATGGCTGTTGCTTTTCAAAACTTTAAATTATAATTTATACATTTAACTCCTTTATATTTTCTAAAATATTTCTTAAATGTTTCCTTTTTACATTTATATTTTATACATCCTTTCCTATTCACCTCACATTGCTTTCACATGCATTCAAAAAATAATTTCATTAAGTTTATTGTGCGAATTTCAATTAAGAACTGGTATTTAAAATTCATTAGCATATATCTGTTTAAAAGTTTGTACTTATTCTAAATATGTTCTATTTTGTCTGAAGATCACATTTGCAAAATGCTGAAAATACTTGCATACATTTGGATTAAACTAAATTAAAGTCAAAAAATTGCATATTTATTAATTACAGAAAATACAAGTTAAGGTTCTGAACACAAACCTGATCTTTTTCCAGAATATTCTTAATTAATTAATTTTATTTCTAATGATTAAATATTATATGAGATGGTGGTTTAACTGCTTACCTCTAGTCAAAATTTTTTAGTATCTTAAAACTAATTAGCCATTTTGTTCTCTGAAAAAGAATCATTCGATCAAACAAGAAAACAATTCCAAAAATTCTGTTAACAAAAATCGAAACTTTAAAAATTAGAAAAATGTTTAATACGTGAATTTATATACAAGGTAACTCAAAAGTCAGTTAACTGAGCTATACAGTGTATTCTGACTAATCCAACTATTTCTGCTTATTTTTCAGCTTAATGTTCCAGGTAAAAATAAATCAGATTATTTTTTAAAATCGTCAAAAATTTGTAAAATGAATATGTACTGTACAACACATTTTAATATTTTAGATATGTTATCAAATACAATGTAAAAACTAAAATATAGCCTATATCTGTCTGGTCCAACAACTTTATTTCTTTGTAAAACAAACATTTTCAATCTAAGATTTTCCTCAGAAATTATTGAAAATTGTAATACAAATGCCTTCAATCTTTTCCTAAGATTCCTGAGGAATTAGAAGAAGAATTGAATACCTGGGGAAGATCTTAGAAGAAGATAGAAAATGCTTGTTTTATACCGGACTAGATAAAGACACTGTACTTTTATATATTTGTGTGAAGTATTTGCTCTATATACTCCATATCTGCCTGTACTCCTTTATAACTTTCTATTAGCCCTTATATCCAAACAACCATATACAATAATTATTTTGGATGAATGAGTACACACTGTCTCAGCCAATTGGCTTTTGGGCCACTTTGTATAAATAACATGTAGCATCTGAAACTTTGCATTCTAATTGATTCCCCAAAATCATTATCGAGCAATACATCATAAACCGAAGTCCACAAAAAATCATAGATTCGGTACCACAGTCGAGAATCTACCAGAGTTCAGACTACGTGAAGCAGCCAACAAAACAGATACAGAAATTCATAAAGTATAATAGAAAATTAATATTAAACGAAAAATCAGAGTTGTAAATGATAATTAAACATTCTCTTAGTTTAATAAAAATTATTAAACTAAAAAAATATTTATAAATTATATACCATAAACCTTATTCTTTCAATTATATATTAAAAATATCACAGATATTTATAGATTATCTTAAATTTCTTAACACACATTCGAACAAATCTAAAAATTATCCGAACGCACAGCACAGACAATACAAACGTAGGAGCATAATATGACCGATTAGTGCCTTACGTACAATACCTCATATGCATATTTATATATTAGATATAAGAGTTTAATATGAAAATGTGGTATTTTCAAACATTGTTATATCCTTTACGCTGTTATAATATTTATAAGATTATTTAGAGTTTTCAACACATAATTTTGTACAGAAATGCAAATTTAAGGCAGAATGTATGATGCGTAGATAAACACAACAAGTACACAGTCGACCCCCTATAACACTGTTGATTTTTCCGTTTTATATGAATTCCATGTTGTACGAGTCACTTAGATTTTACAAATACGTGTGCCGGGCTGTGAACGGCTCACATATTTGTAAAATCTAAGTGACTCGTACAACACGGAATTCATATAAAACAGTGTTATAGGGGGATCGACTTGTATACACATCAACGTTAAAAGCATATGATCCACGTGTTCGCTACATGTTGAAATTGACATATTTTGAATAAACGAGAACGGTTTTCAATAGAATAACGTGAGAAATCGGTAGAATTTTGCTCGATTTTATAAAATCGACGACTTGTTAGCACAGGCCATTGTAGTTAAGCGGGCGATTATCCAAGCATGCAACGAACCGTCGATAACAAATGACTTTTAACGCGCAAAATTCAGATAATATCTTAAATATATGTCTTACCTGAGTTAAATTCGGTTAATTTTAAATGTTTAATGGTTTTTTTTCCTTCCCCTGCTCTCGAAAGTAATAAATTTAAAAGACTTCAACGAAACTACAAACCATGCGATGCTACGAAAATCGAGAGCGAAGTTTACAACTTTCTACTACTGTCACCTGGTGTTAAAAACATGACTAATTCATTTTAAAACTTTCATATCGATTGCTTTTATTTTATTTATTTATTTTAAAAATTTATTTTTAGCAACTTTTAATAACTTTTACTATATTTTATTAAATATTTTTAAATCGATTTGTTTTAAATATTTTATTTTTTGTTGATATTTTAAATTAATTTCCCTGTCGATATGGATTCTTGAATTATCGTCTGAAACACAATAAATAACTCTTTCTCTTATTTTTCTTATTACTTAAGAAAGGAAATTTATACTTTTTTTTACAATAAAATGTCTTAAAATTTTATTTTATTAATATGATATATAAAACTTTAAAACTTTAACATTTTTTTAAAAATCTCTAAAACGTGAACGTCGAACGTCGAGCGCCGCTATNTCTGCATAAAGGAATTGCAGGTAATTCGGGATTGTGTATGGCTATCTCCCAACAAAGGATTATTGGCCTATTGTTGATAGATTGCACACCATGCCAACAGTTTCTGGGGATGACCACTGATGTCATGGATCGTATGGGATACTCGGGAATCATATACATTATGTCTGACAAGTGAGTCAAATAAAAACATGCTTCATCGGAAAAAAACGTACCAATGAAAATCCGACGTTTATCATTTAAATAGACATTCATCAGATTTGCGAACGACATTCTTACACGTTTGGCATGCAGAACTTGAAAAATGAATCTTGAAGTGAAAGATGGAAGATCTTCAGCAACATCCAGTGGTTAAGCTATCATAGATGAAGACTACGAAACTAAATAGAAGCCCTTTTGGCTCCCATTCTTGACAAAATGAACCCCGATCGACCTAGGAATAAAGTATGTAATCTTACATTAAAGTACTAGGGTGTTATCAGAAGGACCCCGAAGAGGCCACGAGTTAACAGGAGGGCTTTCATTGGTATGTTTGCTTCAGGATTTGCTCCAAAATTTGAAGCTCTGCTACCGGTCACATCGTCAACGGTAACTCTTCTCGAAAGACAACAGACATAAAGATTTCTTTGTTGGAGAATCAATAACAAGCGCAAATATCGGAAATGGGTCGCTTCCATTTGCATCTACCTTTCGCTACCCGCTATAGGTTTACCAATTACACTACTACAAAAGTACTTCACATATCTAATTATTGATCTTTTTACATGCTACATCTAAAGCATTATTTGCGTAGTTTTTCGAGATTTGAGTTCTAAATACGATTCAACACAGATCATCTACTCTTATGTCAATGACTACACCATTTAAGCAGATGCATTTTTGAAAGTGTTGCAGATGTGTTAGGAAACTTTCAGCTTATAAAAAGTTTACGGAGTTCTCATTAACTGTGTTCCTGCTTGATCCATTTAGCTGGATCATATAAGAATGCAGCTGACGGTTGCATTATTTTTATTGTCTATACATATTAGCGAGGTTGCGGCCGAAGTTTTCATCTCTAAAACGTGAACGTCGAACGTCGAGCGCCGCTATCCTGTAAGCGGCGCTCGACGTTCGACGTTCACGTTTTAGCGACGAAAACTTCGGCCGCAACCTCACTATTACTGCTGGAGTGGCGACGTGAAAGCCAGTCGGTCTCTCTCTAAACGATCCGTGTTCGGCCCCAATCTTTTTCATTTTAAAAAGGTTATTATTAAAATTCAACGATTTATTTATATATATATTTAATCAGAAAAATATTTAAATAATTTCATTTGTAAAATTCAGCAGCATAATTTTATTAATAAAGAATATTGAGGAACATTGGACATGATTACTGAGGAAATGTTTATATACACGACGGTCGGATGCTCGATGATGTTGAGATCTGGGTCTGGGAGACCCAAAATCGAATCCGAAAATAAAAATACTCAGGACTTTTTTAGAGTTGTTTTTCCCAGATATATAGGGTACCGCTCTTTACCACTCAGCTGCTTCATTTGGTCCTGGTCGAATCCATAATGGGCTTGCTAAAACAGAACTTAGCGCTCACAGGGCGGAAAAAGTTAACGATTTGTTAAAATAATATTTGAATTTGAAATTAAATTATATTTGATAAAATAATCTATCTACGTCGAAAAGGGAACTTCCTTTCTCCGAAAATAATAGGTCGAATGCGATGTCTCACTGGTCTATCCGCAAGACCGCCGGACTTCCTTCACGTGTCGGAAGTCGACGTTTCTAATTATTCTTTCTCCACTCGGGAAGGAACTAACTCGCGAGTTACAACGCAAATAACATATTCTAGATATTGCTGATTCTGGAAATCTTACCGATTCTCTAGATAAATAACGGCTATCCTCGGTGAGACGGGAGATATAGCGGAACCGACCCCGTTCTCGCATATTCGTATTTTATTTATGATGAAAACAATTAATAAGTATGCATAATATCTAATAGAATATAAAAATACCTTCGAAAATTTCGGTATTGTCATCAATTTACACGTTTAAAAGATTAAATTTTTTGTTATCTGATAGTCTGAACAAGTAATCTTTTGTGTACACTTTTCATTGGGCTGCAACTTGAAAAATTGTAGACCTATAAAAAGTTCTATATACTGTCATCTGATTGTCTTTCCTTAATCTATAATCTCTAGAATGGAGTTAGATGGATGAAAGACGAGACCAGAATTCAGTGGCGTGCCTCATTGGAAGCGGTGGATGCGCCGCTTCCCTTGTATTTTCTAAAAAATAAATACATATTAATTTTAATTGTATGAAAATAATCGCATTATGTATCTTATAACAAATTTCTATATACTACACGTGAAAAAAAGATAAGATCGCTATTGTATATTCGAATGTTAGTGGAAGAGTGGAAGCGCTGTATCGTCAGCATCCAAAAAGCCAGATTCGCTCATGCGCTTTACAGAGCACCAACCTCACCCGGTTTAGCCGGTGGAAGCCTAGGACCTCGGGTGGATGCTATACGTATACCGCATCCAATTCTATCCAGGACTGGTTCTGGGCTGTCGAGCATGATTCCACTGACGTTCCAAACGCCATTGTCAAACTTCTAGACTTACAGAAATGCGGCGCTGAACGTCCGACGTACACGTTTTCCCGATGAAAACGTCGGCCGGAAATTGGGGACATAAAACTCTGCTGAAAGAGCCGGAATTTTACTTAAACAAAAGGTTAACCGAGTACAGTGTGAACTGATTTCTTCGTAATATTAGATGTAATAAAGACAGAAATGTTTCCAGTTTAATGAAAGTAACTAAAAGTTGTAAATTTTGGAAATTTCCGCGGACACCTGGTCTTAAAACGAATTAGTTAGAAAACAAATGAATTTTAAGTTTAACAAATTTAGACTTTTACAGCTATGGTGAGAAACGTTTAAAATTTACAACAAACTTGTCGCCTCCTTTGAGATATACTAGTGATGCGACAAAAGAGGCATTTGACATTAACCCGTATAGGCACCCTCGGAATTTGGCAAGCATGCACGAACCGCACACCCACCAAGACCGTCTCTGATTCCATCCATGAGCCACTGGTAGAGAGCAATTTATGTTATTTTTATGTACGTTTCTTCACAAAACTATATTTATTTATAATTTTCTTTAAAAGTACAGGTAATCCCCGTATAACACGGGAGTTACGTTCCAAAAAATTGCCGTGTTATGCGAATCCGTGTTATACGAAACAAAGAAGTAATACGAAAAGGAGGGTTATATTCCAAAATTGTATATCCATCACACATTTTATTTTAACAAGTAATTTTTTATAATTTTATTTTTAATTTTAGCCCTTGTATTATGGCTAGCGATTTAGAATGTAATTGTGATATTGAAAATTTATTTTAAAAAAGTTTTGGCTCGAGATCATATAATGAAAAAGAAAACATTATTAAAAGAGAAAGACCAATACCTAAATTAAATATAAATACGTCAACAAAAAAATTTGTTGGACATTTTCATAAAATTTATGAAGACGTAAAATGGCTTTGTGGATGCATAAAAAAACGCAAAAATTGTTTTGTTGGCCTTGCCTACTACAGTAATTTCAAATAAAATTAGTGTGGAATAAGAATGCCTTTGATGATTTAAATAAGTTGTTAATTTAAAATACATTTAGAGAAGTCTACGGTTTTTACTGGCTTATCGAACAAACGAATACGAATGAACCCTAGACCGTCAGTGACTGATTGCCCCTAGAAGTCGGCTTCTGACAGAAACACAGCTTACCTGTCATCAAATGTCACGGCACGCCACTGCGTTTGACGGGTTATTCTCTCTGTTTTTCGTTTTCGCCAGCAAATCGCGCTCAGTGTGAACTGAGCTTAAGGGAAATCTTGGGTGAACTCCCCAAGGATCGGAGGAAATGGCCCCTTTTTATCCTAAATTCTGACCAATCGCAATCCCCGATTCAAGTCCGCAGTGGGGACGTGAAGGGGTTGGACTGCCAGATGAATGTCGAAATTTTGGAGATAAGGAATTGTAAAAGGGAAGCTAATTTCCCTTTTTGTCATAAAAGTGAGAAATGTACTGTACAGTACAGTACAGTACAGTACGTCATCACTAGTTAACAGATTATTATTAATTAATACAAAAAGAAATTCCATTACAAAATACTATGAGATACCCACAGCTTGTATTGTATTAAACACGAAAGAACAAACACAACGATTTCTGCCATAAGGTAAACAATAGACTAACAATTTACCCGTTATTTATCGCAGTCTGCTATTTTAAAAACCTTTTATTTCTACTCCAACCGTAGTGTTGAAAGAATGGAGTTTAGTTGTTTCAATATTCGTTATATTGGGGTACAAAATCGTCAGTATATCATAGTTGCTGCGTGATGAGTTGAATGAAAATGCATTAGAAATGGAATTGAATTATGTTCTTTCTATTGCTGTATTTCTTTACTGTTTGATCTGATCTCCAGCAACCAAAATGTAGGAGTACACAAAGACTCGCCCTGAGAATGAAGCATTTTTACCATGAATTCTGGGACAATCACATTCAACACATTGCTTTTTTGTTTT